AARSMWTKRAAAAAAMTGAGAAGGGGAAAACAGTTAAAAAWAGRAATAAAGTMAAWAAGATGRATACTGGAGGTGAAATAATGWAGTTGTTTTTATCTCTAAAAAATTYGAGTAAACACTSACTAATTAATTCAATAATAAGGATTCGCTAATTATAMTCCTAATCAAATAATTACAATAATCTTAAATTAATGAGCTCAAGTATTGTTTAATTTGATCGAGTTTCGCATCTAGAAAAACTACACCCTAAATTCAAACAAGTTTAAAGCGATTGTTCTTTCACTAGATTCAACCTGTTTSGACAACCGGTAGCTTTATTCAAATTTTACTAAACCTGGGCTTGTACCCGCCATTCATAGGTAAATAAAAGAGACAGAATCTCTGAATAAAGGATTTGAATATTTTTTACTTCTGGCGAAAATAGAGCACTCTCAAATCATGGTTTCTTAGAGTTCATTAAAACTCTTGGCATTGAAGCGTTTAATTTTCCCGCCTTCCGAGGTTAACAGTAATCGMTAAAGGTCTTCCACAGCTTTTGAAAACTTTGTGSTAAAAAGGAAAACCCTCCTGATTGAAGAAAACGTGTGTAAGAGGACGTTTTTTTAGGTTTTAAAGAGTTCATTTTGCCGATATTTCTAAATGACCGGATAGTAGTACAATATTCATTACCCGGTATTGGAGAGACCCTGTGTTTGATTTTTTTAATAAGGGTCTGTAATCCAATCTTAGATTCTGAAAAAAACTGTTATGGATTTCCCAACTGTGAGTGATTTTTCAAAGTCCGAAGTCATTACGTATCAATTTTGTTTAATTTTCAGATTTCTTGACCCAGATCGTGTTTACATCTAACGGTTGATTTGAGTTGAAGATATTCCCTTAACCGCCATTTTGAACTTCAAAACACGGTCTTTTGCCAAAAAAATAATAAAATAAAATAAACTATTCGTTTTTTATTTAAGTTTTTGTTAAAGGGACCCTTTTCTGTGAAGAATTTCCGTAGATAAGGGTTTCAGTTATTAATAATAAATAGTTGTTTTACGATGACTCTTTGAACCCAATAAAGAAAGAAAGTTGCAAATCACCCGTACAAGAACAGGTTTTTGATTTCAATAACCAAACCACGAGTTAACCCATACAGCTGATTCTTGGCCAGTTTAATAACTGTTTTCTAAAAGCCAATAATCCTAGCTCAAATGATTGAAATTASCCTTTTAGATGCGTTGTTTTTAGTAAGACAGCCATCACTTAGCAACACTACAGGAAAGGAGTATGCAAAAACTCCCATGTCAAAACCAACTTGTACATGAGAGTTTTCATGACAGATTTCACTGAAAAAGTTCCCGTTTCAGTTTTTTTTTCGAAAAACGCTATATGGATGTCTGTAGTCCTATAAATAATTGATGCTGTTGGTCTGCCAGAAATAATCAGTCAGGTCTTAACAGAAAGAAGTATATACCGTGTGCTAAAGTTATCAACTCAAAACAGTGTATTTTTTGGAGAAAAATGGCCGGTTTTCTGCTTGTTTATCTAAACTGCAAAACAGCGCACCATCGTAAAAAGGACAATCTATAAGTTTGTAAGATAAGACTTAAACATCTAGTTTACATTAAAATGATCTAAAAATATATATTGTTAACACCGAGACTGTTTTGCCTTTAAGCAGTTTACAATGCCCGCTGGCGTTACTTTCCGATACACCAAATTTCATGGGCTGCAAAAAAAGATTAAATGATCGAACTAAAATCGTACGCGCATTATACCAACACAGAAAGTGTAACTTTTTTTACAAAATCTAAAATATCATCTTGTTGTGCAAATTAAAGACTATGTATTRTTTGCACACCGCACGAATTTCCATAATTTCAAGATGTAACTAAGGTTCAATCACAGCCTAGTAACGCCGTATCAAAAACGTGAAATTTTGATTAATAGCTGATTTGAATATGGCGCTCAGAAACCAATAACTCACACAACTACATAACGAAAATGAAAATCTCCACTAAAGACAAAATAAACACTTTAAAGCTATGATTTTAAATTGACTTTAAGGTAGCTTTCTTTATATTTAAACTTGTAATTGAGTCTTGGTGAGAACTCGCTAGTTCACTAACGAAAACACAGTCATACCTGGAGTCCACTGAGGGCATTTGATGCTAGTTTGGGAGACCTCGACTCGAGAGCGAGTTTTAAGGGCAATAGACATCGTTCTCTGTGAAGCGAGAAATCAAATCTCAGTAATTCAACTGTTCACTTGGTTATCCAGTGGAGCAAAACAAAGACTTCACTGAAGAATAATAATCACTTACCGTAATTCAAACGGTTCCAGAGTTCGCGTACCCGTACGAGAAAGCAAGAGACCGTCTAGGATTTAAGAGGTACAAAATCAGGACTAATTTCCTGAAAATSAAATACTATCATTGRTACGTACCCGTGGCAGCGTTGCACGCATCGCGCACCGACTTGAGCTTGCCTGACGTGGCGTCCCGGCATAATGTATTAAGTACTTCCTCCATCGTATTTCAACCCTTACACTTGCCCATTTCTTATAAAACTCTCAGGATTTGTCACACGCCACGTTACCAACACCMCTGGGCAATTCACTGCTCGTTGGTAATCAAATCCAGGAAAAATCTCTACATTTCTTTTTCAGCAAACTTCGCCGCAGGTCCGCATTTTTTCAAACAAAGGACGAAAAATAGCCGATGCGCGMTAGCGATGCGCAGTGGATAGGAGCACTTGAAAGGTTTTTCATGTAACACCAGTAAGGTTTGCTGTCAATAACTGCCTTATATGGTTGGCAGACATTGTTACTGGTACATTGATGAGCACCTCCACTACCTGCTCCAATGATTCACGCTGACCCTTATACGTTCATAACGACCTCGAAACGTTTCCGCGCGAAAATTTAAGCTGACATGCATACATCGATATGAGTATGTGGATGATTCTTTGACATCGATCAATCTGTGACATTATAAGATTAAGGGGAAAACGTAAAACAGTACGTAAAGAGGGCTACGAGTTGGAAGCCGAAACGTAAAAACACGCAATGCAYAAGTATAAGAATAAAAAAGCCCTCTTGTGTGACACCAAAAACGCAAGAGAACTGCACCTAATTCTCAATCGGTTGACATCAAAACGCAACAAAATCGTGGAGTACGTGCGAAAACGCGACACGGAYTATCGAATGGCATCAAAATACAAGACCGCAACAAGACGGAAAACGTGCGATAACGTACGTAGTATGGTCGATTATCGAATAGTATCAAAACGCAAGAAGAAAACAGAAAATGTCTAATAAAGTTGTACGATCAATATTTCCGCGCAGAACGGAATACGTACGAATACACGCGGCATCACCTTTTGAACGACATCATTAGAATGCGTAAGAGTTAAGAATACGCGTGAATGTTTATTGGAAGATATTATTGAAGACATAAGAAAACACGTAAGAAAACGAAATATTTGCAAAGTCACTTGTAAAMAATCAAATTGAAAAAAGCTCATTAAAAGACGCAATAGCAAAATCAGTTGCAACAGTTAAGACGTATTTCTATATTTTCAGTATACATTGTATGTAATGTAATCAAAACAACCAACATATACTTCGCATTAGGGTATGTAATAATTTATTTTTGTAAACAGTTTATAATTGAAATACATATTTTTAGTATTCCTATATTTTTTAGTATACATTGTATGTATGTTATTTTTTGGAAATAACCGCGGCCAACAAAATGAAAACAGCCATTATTARTGAAAGAAAATACGAAAAAACTATCGAAGAAAGACACTGAACTCAACAAAAATTATTGCTCTAAGGTTCACAAATTGGTCCTAACAAATCTTAGCAGAAAACGAAGACTCTTTGGATCCTTGAATGTGGAAGAGTTGAAGATGTACTGTAAKGATGTAGCTATGGAAACCAGACATAATAACAAAAAAACGTCATTGTTTATCAGTAATCAAAAGCATAAAAATGGTATTATGCTTTTTTACGCAAATTCACAACCGGAAAGTTTCCATAATTCAGAATAACAAAAAAAAAAATAAAAATATATACAAAAATATATACATGTGTGAAATCACATGTTGCGAAATGGTTGTAATTGTAACGAAATCGTCTTAAACTCCACCCAAGGTTTCATTYATATAAATAGCGATAGCTGGTCTTCCTTCAAAGACATTTAACACCTAAGCTCATCAGAAATCAAACAAAACTACATCACTTAAAAAATGGGTAAAGCCAAAGGCAAAGCTCAAAGYGAAACAAGGCGACTGGCCGTCAACTTCAAAGAGCGCGAAAGAGTTCAACGAATGAACAGAGCTTTTAATGATCTGAAAACAGTCTTACCTAAGATGATGAACGCTACAAAAATGGACTTGCTGTCGTCCGCCAAAGACCATATTGTTCATTTAACACAACTGCTTCAAGAGAAGTACTACGATAAGAATACTAATAKTGTCAAAAAAGAATATTGCTCGAACCAATACCCTGGAATCAACAGTGATGGGTTATTAAAAGTTAAATGTCCAAATACGTTTGGACTTTCACCTCAATATGTGGCACATCAAGACACTTTAGACAAGTCATTATTACAAAGCCAAGAAACGTTTCCAGGAAGCTGCTTAGTAACAGATGTGTTACCAATAAGCTTAAGCATGCACGAAAGTGCAAAGGACACTTGGAGTACATCTAGTGAAGAATTACCACAAMCAAATCCAGGTAATGAGCTAGTGTCAGGTCAAGTTACAGACAAATGGGTTGGTTTTTATGATAATTCCTGTTATGAGTTGTCTGGTGGCTGCAACTCGACARTAAGTCAACAACATGTTTCCTCGTTACCCGAAGGATTTCACATTGAGGATCTTTTAGGCGACTTTTCGKCGAATCMTCARGAAAATACAAACCAAGAAGCGACAGTAACCACATTAGATGATCTGGACACGTTATTTGAGAACATTATGCGTGACTGTACGTCATTCAGTTTAAATACTGCATAATCTGTACTTTTTAATCTCTTAGATAATAATTTTAGGAAATATCAGGAAATACGAATGACAAAGGAATGATGGTGAATGATGGTTTACCCATTTCACATTAAGTTGYGAACAGGTAATGGTCCAAAATGGCAGCTGGCCTGGGAAAATTGCGGTTATGATGACGATGATGATGATTGGTATAATTTCACTAGTATTAAAGCTGGCATTTTTGACTCTTCTTGAGTCTGTAGTAAGTTTATTCCTCAGGAATCGGATTCTCACAACACACCAATACTTTAGGGTCTTAGCAGTTTTTTCCCAATTTTTGAACCTTRAAAACAAACACGTTTGTAGTGCTGGGCCGTGCTATCAAATTATATGAATTGCAGTTTAGGCCAGTTCTTAGATTATATTTATAATACTGGCTGTTCATTATGCATAAATGAAATATTGAAAATACAACAGGCCACTTAGTATGACTTGATAAAAAAAATTGAATATATCGAATGTCTCACAGAACAAAGATAGCTCTTCTTTGACACGGTCAGCGCGAATCCCGATCGAGTAGCTCMATCGATAGTCGATATCAAGCGTAATGATGATAATAGAAAGCGACAAACACAATTTGTAAATTTCGCTCATTTAAAAGGTATCTACAAT